TTATAATATTTTTATGTCTAAGAAGATCGTTTTTTATATTTTAAAATGTTCTATATAGTATTACGACATATCTTTTGTTATTATTAAGAAATTATAATCAAAATAATCAGAAAAAGATTGTAATGTACCTCACATTTAATTTAGATGAAATTTGCCATAATTTGATGGATATTGCAAATCTATGACAGTTTTTATTTTCTAACATTTGCTTTTGTATGCACTTGCTTATGATATCGTAAGTGTATTATCTAAAAGATTATGAAATGAAAATGAAAACGATTAAACGATTAAATGAAATTGTATTTCAAGTTTCATCTATTAAAAATATCCAATACGAGTGCTTTGCTTCAGATTAAATGCTGTGTTGATTCCGCACTCTAACAAAACTTACACATAATAAGCTGAATATAAGTTGTCCTAAACGGTCTGGGAAGTTATTGAAGAACTTTATAGTAGTCTCGTTTTCTTATATAATGCAGAATTCTTAATGGATCCTTGCAGGCTTTTAAGCTTTTACAGTTATAAAAGGAGAAGATGGAAGGAGAAGATGGAGGATATTTAAATCATTTTGTTGAATATGATTGAATTTACGGATAGCTAGATTTAATTAGAATAGAAATTATATTTTTTTATTCGTAAAGAAAAAATATAATTATTGATGTCGTTTTATGGAATAATATCCTTCCAGGCTTTTTCGGACAATTTGCATATAATATAAGTCAAACTTTACGAAAGACGTGTTGTGAATTTAATGTGCATGGAAATATTGTACGTCGTACTCTATTCTAGACATTAGAAAATATAGCATATTTTCTATCTAGTCCCATCACGTGAGACGTATATGGGACGAATCTCGCTGTAGTTACATTTTCGTAATACTTTAACTTATGCAGAAAAAGCAGCTGTTTGAAGTACCAGTTATGCGTTTTCGCTGTTCAATGACGAATCGAATTCATTGCTCTATGCATTGCCTTGATGCATTTCCTTCAAATTTTAAGAATTAAAATAAGAATAAATTAAAAGAGAAATAAAATGGGATTCGTTATTGAACGATAAAATCTTAGTTTGATATCGCACATTTCGGGATTTTCTTGACATTTCCGAGACATCGTTTTGATAAGTTTGGTTTTAACAACTCCGCGCAAATTTTCGAATTTATGCCAATCACGTCTCACGAATCTTAGAGTGTAACTCACGAATGTATCTTCCGACGTAAAAGCGTAAGAATAAAATCACGCAGACATTCCAATTTTTATGCGCTTCTTGCCTCTGGCTTCGGTAGAAAACGTGCATATATTTCGCGTGTGCACGGAATAGAGGGTTCGTGTTGTACAAGAACATATACGGTAGTGTAATTCCTATATACATATTTTTACCTAAAAGTACGTATCGTAATCAGTCTACTTGTAACTAGACTTAAACTACTGTGAACTATACGATGTTCTGGAAGCTAAGAATAATCGAGGAATGCGTATGAGAGTGAGATTCACGCATCTTTGCGTAGACATTATAGGAACAATGTAGCTGCGGCTAATTGTATTATCCATATGTTATGCGTGAAGGATCCTTCGAAATCAAAATATGATGCGTGCGAGAGGATTTCAGGAGGCTTTCGACAATCTTAAGTGACGGAAATCGATGTATGTAGACGTTGGAGATCGAATTAGATCGAATTATAGTCGATTTATCTCCTTATACCGAATGTCGTGATTCTCCACGGAAATTTCCTTGTAGCTGCACCAAACTTTCTGAAATTGAAATAAAAGGAAGACATATACCCAATCGAGCGTTAGACAACGGAAAGATAGATATAGAAAATTCAGCTACAAAGAAAACAATCCTTAGATAAGTCCCCTCTAGAAATATCGCCCAATTGGAGCTTTGAGATAAGTCTAACATCGAGAATGCTATGTTAAATTTCGATAATCGCGCATTCCAGTGGAAGACAGACAGTTTCAATTATGTTAAGCACGAGATTTTAAAGAATTTTAGTTACAATGAAATAGAGAAGCATGCGCCCATTTGCATGACGCTGATAAAATATCAAGAGCTGAACGATTGTGCGCCGATAGAATCTCAATTGTTATATAGCTCTCGTGTAGTGATTGCGACAAATAAATAGACAAAAGTTCGGATATTTGTTTTATTGTTGAAAAGTGTTTTTTGATACAAATCAAAATCAAGAGTGGCGACTATCTTGCACCAAGTGCATAAAAAATACAATAAATTCACGAGTCACAAAAAGTTGATAAGGCCTGTTTTTTCCGGGTTTTTGTAATAATTATTCATATTTTAATTTGAATTCGAAAAGATTTGATAAAAATCTAAAAATTATATTAAGAAATAAATTTGGCCTATTCTTTTTTTATTTTAATTTTGGTATTGCGAAATCAGATTTTATTGAAAGAATGAAAGTAATTAAATATATATATTACATAAACATGTAAGAAATGTTAATTGAGATTGCCATCGCAAATGATAGATTTATAATATATGTCCATTTCTACCAATGTAGATTAATTTTAATCTTAGTCTAATTTATTAATCTGTTTTTTTTAATTCTTAGAATTAAGAAAAGAATAGAAAGTTAATCTGAAATTAAAGTTAATCCATAGTAGAAATGGATACGCAAGAGCGTTCAATGAGTGTCATTTGCATTTACGCCACGATCAGGGAGTTCGTTCACCCCGCGATTATCTAACGAGGGTTGACGACCATCGATCTCGCTTGCCGAGTCCATCGATTCGCGCTATCGATTCTTTCGTTCATCCCCTCTAAAAAATAAAAATGGCCACCGCGGGCGCGCACACCGGCCGAGTGCACGTAGCTGTACGGTGTTGATAAACAGGCGGCGATAAAACGGCCTCACCGTCCAGAACGGTCGATTACACTCCCAGCGTGCGGGAGCGTCGACACAACGGCCGGGAGAAACGAATCAACAACGGCGTCGACGGCGAAGAAGATGAGGGTAGGCGCGGCGACGACGGCTCTGGCCGAGGAGCGGCGTCCCCGAGCTCATAGTGGCGACGGCGGCGACGGCGGCGACGAGCGTGCCAATGTTGAGGTTATGGACAACTTCGTGAAGATCGAGAAGATCGGGGAGGGAACGTATGGGGTGGTCTACAAAGCCCGGGACAAACTGACCGGGAAGCTGGTAGCACTCAAGAAGATTCGTTTAGAGACGTACGTGCCGCCTCGTAAATTTATCGGGAAAACGACACGCTTCTCTCTCTCTCTCTC